GTGAGGGACGGGAGTATTGAACTGAGTGACTGAAATTGTTTTCCAAAGTTGTTTTTACCAGTTTATTCATGGCTTCTTCTTGTTCGAGTGGAGCTAATTTGTCTGTGATGTAACACACCTGGTTGGGGCTCATAGACGGCGGTATTTACAAAAGTTTGAAACACCTAGCTTAGAAACCGACCCGTACCTCCTCCCTCCTGACGCTCCTTTACAGGAGCGACGTGTTGATCAAATTACCGACTTTGCCTGAATTCAGACCACATTATTAATATCACTATGTCATAAATAGCGCTTCCCTTTACACCGGAGAAGCCTTAAAAACTTGCAGAAGACGAGACGCTAACAAGTTTTTTCCATACATGCTAGGCTACGTGATGGTGGGGTATTGTTTCCATGGTTACTAATGGTTAGAGGCGTACCTTCTCCATAATACTGCCATATTTGATACCTTTCTGATCACACTTACTTATTAAGTTTATAAACGTTTATCTTCTTACCTTGTGAAAAGTGTTCGCTGCAAATCCGCAGTTTCACCGAGGGCTGACAGTCACTGCTATCCATCACCGCAGTATCTTTCTGCGTTAAAAGTGTTACACAATAAAATGACAAGTTTGGTTTTCACCATTGTCTGTTTGTGCAGCCGACCACGCAGCACCATTGTGGCCATCTGCGAAATCAACTAAATAAAAGCGTTATTATGCTACCATTAGTGCGTTTTTTAACAGGCTTTACAGGAGCGAATAGGTTGTTTTGATGTCCGTCATGGCGGAACAGGCTGAGTTTCGAAGAGTGACGTCATGCGCAAAGGGTCAATACATCTATCTGTCCATATTCTTCTCATGATTCTGTATTTTTGTTTTTTATTATTATTTTATGAGTTAATACAAAAAAGGTTTAATTTTCTAAGCGCATAACAAGAAATTCATAGTCACATGACTATCCAATAATAACCAATGACGTGTGTAGTTTGACAAGAAAAGAAACTTAATTTAATCAATTACAAGCATTCCAGTTTCATGCTGGTTATCAAGCAAAGCAGTCAGTTCACTTGTTATCGAGTCTTGCTGTTCGTTCTCCTTTCACAGGGCGGGATGATAGACAGAATTGAAAGCAACATGGATCAGTCGGTGGGGTTTGTTGAGAGGGCGGTGGCAGACACCAAGAAGGCTGCCAAGTACCAGCAGGAAGCGCGCCGGGTGAGTTAACATCCACAGAGTTCAATCTTTTCCTGATTAGAAACTGTAAGCAGGAAACAATCAGATAATTGATGACAGCTGGAGTTTACTGCTGAGTTGGAATAAAGTCATTATGGGGATCAGGGCGGCTTCACTTGGTTGATATTAAAGTTTTTTTTTCTAAACATCATGATGTTTTCATGTAGTTCATAAAGAAAAAAGTCCAGAGAACAGACACGATGAGGTATGTTCTTACCCTGGTTTTGTAGAGTACATCTCAAAATCTGTAAAATTATTTGGCCTTGAGTTTGACACGTGTGCTGCAGAGCATTAACCTCTGACCTGGGATCCCCTTTGCAAACCTACAGACAATACTACCAAATATGTAAAGAAATGTCAACTATTAAATAACTATTATTACATTAATTAACTATAAATGGTATTAGACGGCCATGTGTTCTGTGGCGGAAAATTTAATTGTCAGATGATATATTATAACTTTATTAACCCCATTCCTCTTTCTCCAGAAACAAATGATGATCTTCTGCTGCTGTGTGATTCTGGCCATCATCTTCGGCTCGTTTGTCTACAGTTTCATCAAATAGCGGATCTGTCTGAGTCTGGAAACAGAAAAGAACTGTTCAAATGTGGCCATGGATTCTTTTCAGTGTCGTGTGGATCTGAGTCAAGATAGAAAGAAACAAAAAATGTATTTTAAAAAAAGATTCTGTTTTCATTGTAAGCTTAAGGCAACACTACAAACCACATTAGAAATTTCAGTGCAGTGTGAACATCCATAGTTAAATAAATGGAAATATAGTCAGAGGAAAACCTAATTTCTGCCAAAACCTAAAAGTTTTTCAAAAGTTTTTGGTAGACCGATTCTGTGTAGTTATATTTAATCTATATTTGAAAACTCAATGGACGTAAAAAGTACAATCTGTCTGTGATTGTGTTTTATTGTGTACAACACAATAAAAATAGCATTATGATGAACTTCTATAAAATATTTCAGTTCTCTTAAGAAAGCAGAAATCAGCTTTTTCAATTTCATTTCAATTCAACATGGAAAAATCTGCAAAGCTATGAAAAGAATCAGGTAAAATTAATGCTGGGGCTTTAGCTCATTAAATTACTTTAATTACATAGATTTAGTCCATGAAAACCCAATTAACCATTTAATTGCATTTTGTTTTCTGGTATGCCTGTAAGTCAGATGCTCAGGCGACAGTGATGGACGATAAATAGCTTCTCTTGGCTCACTGTAGGTTAATTTTTGCTCCAAAAATTGCTGGAAAGGTTTATTGTTGCGTTCAGGATGTGCAAACGGGAGTTATAGATAAAATAGCATCTCAATCCTAAACATGTTGCAGCAGCGCAGACGTCTCCAATACTAATGTCAGCATCCATGTTTCTGTAGAAGTATTTTTTCAAATAAGGTGCAGGAATGATCAGAAGTTTCTGAAAAAACTGAAAGCTGATTTGATATAATCACACTTTGCACCAATCTGATGGTTGAATAACTTAAATAATAAGCTAAAAACAACAAATATATTTGCTGTTGAGGTCATATGTTTCCTTATTCAAAAACTTACCAGCAAAAAGGGTTTTTGAATTGAAAATGATGCTTGTTTTGTTGATATAATTTCAGTTAAAATTTGTTTTACTGCAATCAATTAATTACAGACTCTACTTGGAAGCACATTGTGGCAATACTTATGCTATTAACTGCAGTTAATGAAATAATTTATATTGCATGGATAACAACTATTCAAAATTTTTTTAGTTTGTTTAATGTGAGCACACTGCAAAAACACAAAATCTTACCAAGAAGTTTTGGTTTAATTTCTAGTGCAAATATCTTAGCACACTTGAAATAAGACAAAACTAACTTTTAAAATATCTTTTTAGCAGTAAATATATGTGCTTATTTTATGTCAATAATTCCTTAATATTGCAATAAAAAGAAGAAAAAAAAGAAAAAAAAGTAATAATTCCCCTGGCAGATTATTTCACCTGTTTGCCATGTTTTTAGTAGAATAATCTGCTAATGGAACTAGAACTTTTCATCAATATTAAGGAAATATTTACTTAAAACAAGATCCTTTATTTTACTGAAAAGTCACTCAGGAGTTAGTTTTCTCTTATTTCAAGTGTATTAAGATGTTTGCACTGGAAATTAGACCAAAACTTCTTGGTAAGATTTTACGTTTTTGGAGTGCACTTAGTGGGTGAGAGACACTTATAATGTATGGAATGAAAATAATTGTAATTTAGAGTGTGTTCATATTTTTTAATATTCAGGGTTGTTTTTTCTTAGATGACTGTGACATTGCCTTGAGGCTCTTTTTTTAACAGCTATAAGTTCTTGTTTTGTGTGTTTTTATTACAAAGCTGTGTATATGACATCATTTTTTAAAGTTTATTTTATAGTGCTTAACGCTGCTTCTTAAGAAAGTTTATGGCAGCCCACTTGGCGGTGATGATTGACTTGTTTATGTTAAGATCTGACCATTTTGAGCTGCATATTAGGGAGAAGCTAAGCTTTTCTGAAGTGTAAAACAAGCCTTAATGGACTGGCAACCTGTTCAGATGCAAGCCTATTCCCATGACAGCTTACTTACATAAAAAAGAACATTAAAGTAGCCTATTTGATGTAAAATGTATGTAGTGAAGCATATTGGGCATTATTCAACATTCATCATGGGTCTAATTAATATTGGCTGTTCCAAAATTTAGTTTTTATTGAAGTTTTTTTAGATTTTTGCCATGAAACTGTCATTTTTTTTGTTATTGTTAAGCAGTATGAGTTTGTATCAGTGTAGGAGAATAAATTAAAATTTATTTGTTTCTGTTTCATAGATTTGTCCATTTTGTTCACAAATAAAATATATACACACACCGACCATCATTTTTGTTTGTCTGACCTATGATCTACGAGTTTTAGTTTCATTTTAGGTTCTAACAGAACAGAAGACCCTTACTAGAAGACCTGGAGGACCTGAAGGGCCTGCAAGATAAAATCAAATTTAATCAAGCGATTAGGCTAAGATTATTGATAGCTAGAGATTAAAAACACAACTGTGGAGAGCTTCTGCATGTTTACTGACTTTTGGGTGGTCTTCTAAATATTTATTGTTTAAAATTACATTTTAGTGTTTCGGTTTTCAGACAAAAGCAGCACAGCGTGGTCTCTGGCTTGCCGTAGATCAGATGTACCTATTTGAAGGACAAGCTTCTTCTACCAATCACAGCAACCATGCAACATTTGCCAGCCAATGAACGGTGGATGACAGAAGGTGCAGTTGCATTTCCATCAGAACCACCCACTTCCTTGTTGAGCTGAAGCATGACTGTTGGGATGTGAGTCTTTGGCAGTAGTGACAGCTCACTGAGGCTCTGAGTCCACTGGATCACGGCTCCCGTCCTGAGGAGACCCGCTCTCTGTTACCATGGGGGTAAGCACCGTAATACGCTCTGGGTTCTGACGTATTTTAAGTCTTATTTGACTGAATGCAATTTTTACTGGATAATAAGGTGGTGTGGACGGTGTGTCGCATCGTCACCTGGTTGGCTACCCTTATGATTGATATGTTGTTCAATCACCCAATAAAGGCGTTAGAACCTAACAACCAATAGGATGCAAGACGTGGTTTCAAGTGTGGCGTTATTGGTAGTTTGGTAGGTTGCTTACGCCCTTATTGGGATAATTGTCCAATCAGAATTCACGTATTTTATTGACGCTGAGCGTCACCGCTGTAAATCCAATGAGCTTCTCGCCTGCTCTCGCGTGATTGGTCCAGAACGAGTTTGTGGGTGGGATCTACTGTTGTTTTGTGATGGAATGGAAAATGGCGGCTGTTTAGAGACATTCATGCCGATAGGTTTTGCAGTTCTAGTTACACAGAGAAAGTGTTTTTCCTATGGTTAAGCTTGTTCGGATACAGGCATCTGTTGTTAAATAACCCGAGGATATGTTTGGGGTTCTATCGGAGGACATTTTGAACTCAGCAGACCAACACTGGCCCGGCTCGGATTAGAACAAAGCTTCCGTTGATCTTGTATTTAGAAAAACTATATAACTTATAATTCTCGCTAACTTCTAGACTATGATGTAGCCGAGTAGGACTACTTTTTTCTTTTTGCATCTTTTTAACCGCTTTGGTAGTTCACTGTAAATCAAAGCGGAATCAGCCAAGCTCTCTGTAAGCTCCGTTAGTTTAATCTTTTTAACGGGTCTTGGATTGCAGCCATTTAGGTCCATACGTTTTAGCGAATTGTTTACTACGAAAGAGCCATGTGGCCCTACGGTGCAGGTTAAAGGTCATCTATGGTGGTTCTTTACTTCTTCAGTGGAGAGAAGCCAGTCGTTCCAACTGAATATGGATGATTCAAAGCCTCGGTTCAGCAAAAGGCTGGTAAGTTTAATAATGCCCGTTTAGGTTCCCCAGGCCGCTATGTAATGAGACAAAGATTGAAACAACTCAGTGTAAACTAATGCAATTAGAAAAGGTTAAAGAACCCAACACTTTATAAGTTGTACAACTCACAGGGAAATCCCACAGCATGATCACAGGGCAGCAGAAGAGGCCCTCCATACTTGTTTTGAAGCAACTGATTGGACTACTCTCTGCCAGCCACATGGAGCCACATCAGTGCCATGACTGAGTGAGCGAATGACTATCTAAACTTAAGTGTGGACTGCACCATCCCCACCAGAACAGTGAGATGCTTCCTGAATAACAAACTCTGGGAAGGCAGAGTCTCTTCAGTCAGAAGCCTTTTCAGATTTACTGAGATACAGACCACTACAAGAGATCTTCCCTGCCAACAGCCATCACAATCTTCAATAATAAAAAATTAATGAGTTACAGCAACATTTAATTTCCCTCTGGGATTAATAAAGTATTTTTGAATTTGAATTTGTTGCTACTTGATAGTTTGTCCATTGTTCTTAGGGCTGCAGGAATGGAGAGCTGTGTTTTCTTTTTTTCTGGTCTTGGCCCTGGAAGAACTAGGCTAGACTCCATGGATCATATGGCAAATCTTTATTACTCTTACTGTTTTTTAAAGTTGTCGAACAATGTTATTGAACAATGTAAGCTGATGAATTCGGTTCAGAGATTGTGCATCAATGTCTGACTCCATTTAAGATCCATAAATATTAGCTCACTAGAACAATGATCAGTTGTTCCATTATTTTGTGGTGTACAAAAAAAATTCAGTTTTATGAAGTATTAGTAAAACTCTAATCATTTGAGCTCTGTCTTGGAATTTGGGTTGACTGTTTAACACCATCAAGTTTTTTTTGTTTTGTTATTTGTCTCCTTCCATACTTCTTAATTTGATCTATCCACAACAGCGAGCCGGTACTCGAAGGCGTTACCATGACGATGGGATCTCAGATGAGGAGATTGATGGGAGAAGGATGTTCGACTTGGAGGAAAAAGTCAGCAGCGAAAAGTTCAGTTCTGATCGAATCGTCCGCATGGAAGGAAAAGGTAATTAGTTGTGTTTAACTATTGTTTGGTGCTTTTAGCCTCACAATAAGAGACAGAAGCTTTCCTTAACAGTTTTTTTTATATATGTGCGCTTCAGTCCATTTTTGTATTTTTTCCATATTTCACAGATTTTACATACGAGTTTGTCCAGAAAGGTGGCCTGAGAGACCCGATCCTGTTTGAGAAGCCTGAAGGCCTGGGAATCAAGTAAGAACATTTCTGTTTACTGATTACTCATGACCTGTTAGCTTGGTCATGTGTTAGTTGCTGTTAGCAGCTCTTTGGTGCTAAGCTAACATGTCTTGTTAGCTTGGTGGCTAATATGACCTGATATTTAAACTAAACCTCAGCCATTGTATCACTTTGACTTTTGTGTGGTTCTGCAGGATGCCAGAACCCGATTTCAGTGTCAACGATGTCAAAACGTTTGTTGGTAAGATTTTAATTATCATCTTTGTTATTGTTTTTATTATTGGATGTTACAGCTTCATCTGGATAAAGCTACATGTCTTTAATTGAATGTTCTGCACAGAGAATAACTTCAATTTCCACAATAGTGAGAAAATATGGAAATTTATCTTTGTTCTTCATACATATGCAAAATATTTGTTATTCATGCATATGTTCTTCTATTCATCTGATATTCCATTCTTTATCCATACATCCTCATTTATTTATCTTCTCATCCATTTTTCCTTTTGTCCATTTGTCTTCTCATTCTTTTGTACTTTTGTTGTTTTGCCTTCTCATCATTTCATCCTCTCCTCAAACACTTTTCTTAAGGACAGTTTCCAGCTTTCTTCTCTGATTTGATCATGTGACCAACCACCTCCTGTCTTCTTCGTCCCCTCAGGTAGCAGACGCATGATAGACGTAATGGATGTGAGCACCCAGAAGGGGACGGAGATGTCCATGGCCCAGTGGACGCGTTACTATGAGACTCTGGCGTCCCAGAGAGAGAAGCTCTATAATGTTATAAGTCTTGAGTTCAGCCACACCAAGCTGGAGAATTTGGTTAAAAGACCAACCACAGTATGTTCCCTCTCTCCGTAAATATACTGACATCAGTAACGTTTTAACTTTCAATACATTTTTATTTTATTTTTCTCTTTCTTGTACACATAGGTGGAGCTCATAGACTGGGTGGACAACATGTGGCCTCGTCATTTAAAGGAGAGGCAGAGGGACTCAACCAACTCCATCAATGACATGCAGTATCCAAAAGTCCAGAAGTAAGTTCCTAGTTTCAATTGTTCATATGTGAGTTTTGTCTTATTTCATGTGTACAAACCAAGGGTGTTATAGTTAACTAAAACTAAAGAAATAACAAAAAATTTTGAAAAAACATTTTTGGTAATTAATGGGAAAAAACTGTAACTAATTAGAACTATGTTGTATAAAAGTAAAACATACTGAAATTATAGATGGAACAAAGTTTGTTTTCGTAGAACTGATGTGAAATTTACTTTTTATTTATTTTCACCACACAAGCAGTTTACGTCAGCTGTCGGCAAAGTACGGCACTCCATACTCCACCAGGTGGCGCTAGTCTGCGAAATGCAAAGCAGCAAAATTTGAGAGAAATGCCAGTCAGTTTGGTGTTCAACAATAATACATTTTTTCAAAACAGTGTCTTCTATTGAGTATTCAATAGAAAATCAATATACAATATTTGATTCTGCACATAAAAGTGAACCAAAGTATGGAAAAACTAAAACTATTGCTAGAACAAATAAAGTAGACAATATTTAGCTAATAAAAACTAGAAAACAGTCACAACAGGATAAAACTGAACAATAATGAAACATCCAAAACTATCTCATATAACCCTGGTACTAAGTTGCAAGTGACTATTTGGCAAGATATGGGAACTTGTTTTAAGTAATTAATTCCTTAATATTGATGAAAGTGTACTACAATATTTGCACTAGAAACTAGACAAAAGTACTTGGTAATATTTATTTATTTTTGCCGTGTTAGCTCATCTGAACTCAACCAAGCTGTTTATTCCTCAGATATTGCCTGATGAGTGTTCAGGGTTGCTACACAGACTTTCACATCGACTTTGGCGGGACGTCAGTCTGGTACCACATTCTCAAAGGGAGAAAGGTAGAAGACAAATGTTTTTATTTGGGTTTATAGTGGGAAATGGTGCAGTTTATTGTTTGTACTGATAATAATAAATGCGTTTGTGCTTTAGGTTTTCTGGCTGATCCCTCCGACGGATCCAAACCTGGAGCTGTATGAGAACTGGGTTCTGTCTGGGAAGCAGGGGGACGTTTTCCTGGGAGATCGAGTGTCTGACTGTCAGAGGATCGAACTGAAGCCGGGCTGCACGTTCATCATACCCTCAGGTACGTGTAGAGTACGTCTGACGCAGCGGCTCAGGAAGCAGTTCTGATGTTCGGCTTGAATCCTCAGGCTGGATTCATGCGGTTTACACTCCTGTGGATTCGATGGTGTTTGGAGGAAACTTCCTGCACAGCTTCAACATCCCCATGCAGCTAAACATCTGCAACATTGAGGACAGATCCCGGGTAGGTTCTGACACAACTCTATGAAATGTAAACAAAAGGCACTTTGGGTCACGGGTGTCCAAAGTGCTGCCAGTTTTATTTTATTTCATTTATTCATTTCTCTTTTGAGGAACCCAACTTCAGTTGAAGAATAATAGAGAATGCAGGTGGTTGATGCTGATTAGAGCTGGGGGATAAATTGATTATATCGATTAATCAAAATTTTCCTTTTTGATGGTTTAATTTTAGCAAAATGTGGATTTTTTTTTTCCACCCACGTGTGTTTCTGTAGCTCAAATTGTTTTACATCTTCTAATTAACTTGAGTTTAAATTCAAGTTAATTCACAGAAGAGATGATTGAAATAAATGCCAGTTTTTGAAATATATTTTCTGTTGTTTTTAATTTATTTTTAATAAAATTTGGAAAAAAAATGGGATCGAAATCGTATTTGGTGTGAAATAATTGTAGATTTTATTTTTAAGCCATGTCACCCAACTGTCATGCAGATGTAAACTTTTTATGTATAGTCAGGGCAAAATTATTACTGACAGAACTTTTTTATAATAGAAAATTTCAAGTAACACACAAAGTATTTGTGTTTTTATTACCAAGCTTTTATAATAACTAAAAGCTGACTTTGCTGCGGCCAAGCCATTTAACAATCAAATAAATCTTGTTTTTCTAACCGAGAATAAATTTGTTCAAAAGAATTTGAAAACTACATCCTTTCCTTTTAATACAGAAAATGTATTATATTATTTTAAGTTTTGAATCTACAAATCCCTTAATAATCTAAAAATTAGACACTTTTCTTGGCCCGAAAGCGTTTTTGACTCAACCGTTTTGCCACATGTGACATAAAGTTTGTACACCCCTGTTCTTGGTGTCGGCTGCAGGTTCCTGTGAAGTTTCGCTGCCCGTTCTTTTATGAGATGTGCTGGTACGTGTTGGAGCGCTACGTCTTCAGTCTGACGAAGACGTCCTACTTCACCGCCGAGTTTCAGAAATACTCACTGGGTACAGGTAAGAAACAAATGCATGATGAATACAGTTTCTGCAGATTGACTCTGGTTGTCTGCTGACCTTCAGTCAATATTCTGGAAGCTCGTTCTGCTGCCTATAATGTTTCTTTACATTAAGTGGAAAATGTCGCAAATTGAAATTACGAAAATAAATTTGCTTAATGGAAACAGCAATTTCAATAAAAAGTTTTTACGCTAGAATGAGGTGGTTTTCTTCAGCCATATCAAAACACCTTTTTCACATTGCATGAGTCATGTGATCAACAGCCGGATGTTACTACTGGCAGAAACGCAGAAGAAGACAACAGGAAGTAGCAGGAGGACAATACCGTATTTTCCATACTATAAGGCACATTTAAAAGCCTTTAATTTTTATCAGAAAATCGAAGCAATTTTGTGTGGTACGTGGCGCTCATGGTGCTGTCAAAATGTTTAGTTACGTTACAGCTACCGTAGTAAGGCGTGTTGCGGAGTAATGCCTACTGTGATACCTACTGACTTTTCTGACTGTTTTGTTTTCACTTTATATATAAAAAAGATTGAAAATAGACCACTCATTAACAGTGCACCTCATAAGTAGTAAAATACGGCTGCTGTTTTTGAGGTTTTTTGGACAATGTGCTGTCTCACAGCATCATCATGCACTTCATGAAAGTTGTTTCATTTGAACGTGCTGAATCAATAGCTCTTCTGTAAAATGGTCGACTACAATTTCCCCAAAATGCCGCTCACGTAGCCAAACCCAAGTATAATGGTTTGTTGCGCCAACGCCTGAATAAAGCGCGACGTCTCCTCTGATTGGCTCATAGATGTTGAACGCTAGCGCCACGGCTGAAATATGAAAAATCTGTTGCTGCCGTTATTTTAATAATTTGTAGAGTGAACAGGCTTACTGATGTATGATTTTAATTTAATTTCTTATTTAATGGAAACACAGCCACTTTTTCAGCCCTTATGCACTGACTGAAGCAATCTCTGCCTGATTCTGTCGTTTACATTCCCATCATCAGATCTGCATGTGCACCACAATGTATTAAACTTTAGCTATTCTTTCTGGATGCCCAACTTGTTGCTTTGCTGTTTTTCCTGACATGCTAGAATTTCTCTGATTAAAATCTGTTATCTGATTCAGAGGAGGATTCTGATAAGAACGAAGAGTCGGAAAAGCCTCCATCCAAAGTCCATTTGACGCCGCTGGAGCTGGAGGGGCTCTGGAGTTTGATCAGCAAACTGGAGGCGCTGCCGTCGAGCAAAAAGAGCGTCCCGGCCGGGATCCAGAACGCTTCAACACTCATGACGCACATCAAGGTACTTTACAGCACTTTGTCTTTACTGGTTGATATTTTTAATGTTCTTTTTTTTTTTGTTTTCAGCCTTTTAACAACTTTTTTTTCTCTTTCAGGCTTTACTGAAGGAACATGCTAATGACAACCCTAAGCTGTCCTACACTGGAAAACCGATTGTGAAGTGGCCACCCAGGGTAAACATTCATCTGAACCTGATCCAAACGTCCTTCTGGACCAAAACAGTTTCATAACTATTTACACTCTCATATTTTCTTTTGTGTCCTTTTATTTTTCCCATCACATTATCCTAAACAGTCATTTCATTTAGAAACACCTTAGGCTTAAAGTAACTTGCCTGTTTTATCTGGTCCAGTTTTCTCTTCCTGATTATTGATATCGGCTGATATGAAATGCTTTGATTGCGATGCGTTTGTAAAAAGATGTCTGTATCAATGCCTTCAGCGTGCAGACAGACAAATCTGGCAGCTACCCTTTATAAAATGATTAAATTACTTTAAGTGGAATATACTATAACTAACAATAATAATGTTAAATTTTCTTGGCTTTTCTGCGTCGTCCTCAGCCTTCGTGGTATCAGCCGCCTCCTCCGCCTCCACCGCCACCGGCTCCTCGTCCTAAACCGCCCTCAGCGACCTCCATGCAGCGATCGCAGAAACCCTCCTCCTCCATGTCCTCCCTGAGGCGCCGCAGAGTCAGGTAGCAAACATAAAATTTACTTTTAGGTTGGGCACAGCCAGAATTACTAAAGGGATGGGAGGAAGGGCTGGAATTTATGATTTAGTAAACAATTATTCTGATGATTAATCTGATAAACACAGTGTAGGGGTAATCTGGTGATTCTTCTTTGGATTAACCCAACTAATGATTACATAGCAAGAGGTGTTTTTTTTTTTGTTTTTTTTTTTAACTGAATTTAACCAGGTGAAACTAAAAATGCTCCACCCAGAACTCCTCAAGTTTTGGGTGGAGCACATTTACAAATAAAGATTTTAATTTAATCTTAAATGCTAAATGTTTATATTTTTGCAGTTTTGGTTTTAAAACTGCTCTGAGTGTGTTGTTCTTTCAGGAAATGGCCTTTTCTTAAGTTTGTTTACTCCAGTTAACAATTAATCAATTTCTAAATTATTTAATTATTATTTCAATAATCGATTAATCACGATTAATCATCTCAGACCTAATTGGAAGTCAGTACAGAGTCCTAAGCGTCTGAGGAAGGACTCCAGTGCGAACCTCTGATCATTCCTCTGATTCTGCGTTCAGGCTCCACTTCTTCATGAAGAGAATCCATTTTAACTTTCTTCCGTTTGTCTGCAGATGTAAGCGCTGTGAGGCGTGCATAAGGGCGGAGTGTGGAGACTGTAACTTCTGCAGAGACATGAAGAAGTTCGGAGGACCTGGGAAACTCAAGCAGACCTGTGTGCTGCGGCAGTGCCTCTCCGTAAGAAAGTTCAATGTTTATTTGTAAAAATGTAAAAAAAAAAAGTAGAAATGCGTCTCTTTGCTCAATGAAAATGTACTTTACTGTTTGCATGAATGTTGCTTAATAAGAAAGGTGAAAAAATGAATAAAATGTCAAATACATTTTTATAAATATTGCAAAATATCATCTAAAAGTACCAATAATGGGATAAAAGTAATTAATATATACATTTTATCCAATAAATAATGTGTATCTGCACCACATAAACCTGCACTGCTGCACCCCTGAATATTGTTTTAAACATTCCAGACCCGTAGGGGGCAGTGTGGTGTTATGCTCAGATCGCCTCAGCCAATCAGAAAACAGCCACAACTTCCTGTTAGGAGTTACACACTGCACCAGGAGGTTAATTTATATGGACAGATATAGGTATTAAACTACCTTTAATTAGTGTATTGAATGTAAAGTTAATAAAACACGACAACGTCGCTGCATTATTTGTCGCAGATTAAATCTGTTTGCTCATGTAGACACACATATACAAATATGGAGTTTTCTCAAATAATTTCTCCATTTTGGTTGGAGTCTTCATAAATGACAGTTTTGAGTTTGAGTAAACGTATAAAATGTATGCTAACACTTTATTTGAATGGGTGTGCATGAGACTGACATGACACTGTGATAAACATGAACGAGTCTTCATGAATGTTTCTGTAAAAGTCCGTAAATAATGACACTTTTAATGGACTTTTAATCCAACTTTTAGTGCAACTTTGCATTAAAAATGTCATTTATTGAATGACACTTTGTGACAACAGTCGTAAACATTCATGAAACCCCTTCATGTTTATAACAGGTCAGTCTTATGCAGACCCATCTAAATAAACTTTTACCAAATGGATTCGTTTTTCCCAGATATTATGCCAAAGGTATTATTAACAGGGTTTGTTGTCGTGAGTGAACTGATTTTTTTTTTTTTTTTTTTTAACTTTGCTGCCTCGTCCAGCCGGGCCTCCCGCTGTCTGCAGTGTGTGAAATCTGCAAGGAGCCGAACCAGGAGGAAACTGGAGACGCTTCCCTCACGCTGATGGAGTGCTCCAGCTGCGCTCAGATTGTCCATCCTGCCTGCCTCACGGTAAGCTGGGAACATTTGGTTTTGTTCGTACAGGTTCCTTAAAATCCCTGAAAACCATTTCATTTCAACTAGGTGTTTTCAAGGTTTGGAAAGTGCTTGATTTCTGTGTAAAATCCTTAAAAGTGCTTGATATTCAAACTGCAGTAGCCATCCAAGAGTAAAACCGTATTTGGTAAAAAGTGAGTAACTGATCAAATTATCAACCAATTTAATGTTTACAAATTTCATCATTAGATGGAGCAAAATATAATACTTGAAAAGTTTGATATTTAAAGGATGAAAATTAAAATAATTCATACAAGTAACAAAAAATAACTACATTTTTTTCTAAATCAGTTTCTTTCAATAAAAAAACTTTAACAGAAACTGCAGGTGTGTGTCTGGTGAATTTCTGGTTAAAACATGTTTGTTTTTTATTCAGTGGGTAGAAAATCCAGAAATTTTACTCAAGTAAGAGCAGAAATACTTCAAAATAAAATTACTCAAGTAAAAGTAAAAAGTACAGAGTAGTAAAAATACTACTAAGAGTAAATGTTTTCCAAAGGTTTCTCAGGTAAATGCAGTTTCTACCCAGCTCTGGTGCTGAGTTTCTTTTTAAACGTCCTGTTAGGTTCAGGGCGACGGCGTCGTGAATAAAGACCTGCCCAGCTGCTGGGAGTGTCCAAAGTGCGTCCAGGGCATCACCGATCGAGAGGTAATCAATATCCTAATCTGTCTTTAGCTTCATGTCACTTTGTTCGGTTTAGTTGCTCTGTTTCAGAGTCTTAAATTTATCCTGTGATGATTCACCTGTTCACAGTGTAAAGGTGACAGAGGCGATTCAATGGTGAGTCAGAAGTTATTTTATCTTTTACATTTTATCCAAATGTAAAAGATAGTGACGCCTTCAAATGCATTTATATTCCTTGAACCTTTTTCATATTTTTCCACTTTATTAGGATTTTAAGAGATAGACTCATAATGTAACTGGGATCAGTTGGAATGTGTGTCTAATTTAAGTTTTTGTAAAGTGCCTTTTGTGAAATTATTTGTTGTGAATTGGTGCTTTATAAATAAACTGAA